TTTTTTTTTTTTTTTTTTTTTTTATTAATTATGTTTATATGGAAGTATGAAAAACAGGTCTGACATTTTGAAGCTTGCACCTACCTAACATGTATACAAGATTACAAAGACTGCAAATGTTCCTAATAGAATATTCCTATTGCACAGTTCTGATACAGCATGTAATTGTTCTAGAATATGTCACTCAATGCATTGAATGTACTTATAAAGACACATTATACAGTAGTAACTTTGATACTGCAATGCTTTAGGCATCACAGTGACTTTTTAAACACAGGCAACCATGTGAATACAATGTTCCTCTGTTTCCCAGGAGTTCAAATATGACTGCTTCCTGGATGACAAAATCAACGAAAGAGTAATTTCTTCAAAAATGAGCGACGACTAAAGCATTTCTTGTTGCCATTTGGTTCTGGTGCTAGCGAGTGCCCTGGACGTTTTTTTGCAGTACATGAGATTAAACAGTTCCTTGCATTGACACTGTGGGATTATGACCTACAGCTCAGTGATCCTGATGCCACCCTGGTTCCAGACAGTACTCGTGCAGGCCTGGGTATACTGCCACCATTACAAGATGTCCTTCTCAGATACAGAAGAAAAACCAACATCACCACAGAACAGTTAAGATAGGAAATGGAAGGAGATGGAAAGTATAGGATGCAAAAATAAGATCTTTGCCTAGAGGACAAGTGAAATGGCAGTCTTTCTAGTATCTATATGTTGAATGATGATTTGATTTGTTCTTATTGGACTTTGTATGATGATTTAAATCAATGAAAATGTGGCATTTTGCACAAATGGGCTTAACTCAGCAACACAGTAGTAACCGCTTAACAGCAATACGGCTCCTGTGTGATTCTGTTTGATGAACATTTGTATGTTTGACTCTAATTAGCCTACATTAAAATGCATTCTTTAGTGTAAGAAAAGTGTAAGAAAAGGTGGGTGAACCTCTATGTCTATTTGTCTTGTTTGTCTGCCATCATAAATGATGGTAATATTTAAACATAAATAAAATCTTTACACACAATGTAAATGACTACATGAATGACTACAAACAGCCAATGTATGCCTCTTTTTCTTCAAGTTTAGAGGGTTATTCGAGTAACCAGCGCCAAATTTAGGTGTGTGTGTGTGTGTGTGTGTCAGGTTGCTATTATGTATTTATTTTACATAGTAGCCTATGTAAGATAAATTCATCACCGTTTTTTATATTTAAAGAATTTGCCACTGACGATTCAAACGCGAGTTTTGAGCAGTGTAGAGTAGTGTAGTTTGTTTGTAATTTCTCCGATCACAAATGCAGACTTTCTACTTTGAGGATCTTGATAGAAATGTAGTGGAGTGAAAAGTACAATATTTATCTTTCAAATGTAGCAATATTTATCTTTCAAAAGTTAAAGTTCACACACACACACACCGTGAACACACACCCGGAGCAGTGGGCAGCCATTTTTGCTGCGGCACACGGGGAGCAGTTGGGGGTTCAGTGCCTTGCTCAAGGGCACCTCAGTCGTGGTATTGAAGGTGGGAGAGAGCACTGTACATTCACTCCCCCCACCCACAATTCCTTCCGGTACGAGACTCGAACCCGCAACCTCTCTGACCTTTATGGGATATACTTTATGAAATTTTACAGAATTTATATAGAATAAATCAAACAGGAGTAAGAGTAGAGTTTTTATGGATACATGCTCATGTAGTTGTAGAAGGAAATGAGGAGGTGGGTAAGCTGGCCAGGTCAGCATTGAGAAAAGAAGAGATTGACATAGAAATTCCTTTAAGTAAAACAGAAGTAAAAGGTATTATTAAAACAGCAGTTGGAAGTATGTGGCAAGACGTATGGAATAAAGAGTCAAAAGGGAGACACTTATTTAGCATTCAACAGAAAGTGGGGATTGAAAGAAAGGTATATGGAAACAGAAGAGAAGATACTGTTATAACCAGGATCCGTATAGGACACTCTAACCTTAATTATTCATTGCATATAATAGGAAAAAGTGAGTCAGATAGCTGCAGTTACTGTGGAATAACAGAAACAGTTGAACATGTGCTTTTACATTGTGAGGCATATAATAGACAAAGAAAGCAACTTGTTGAAAAACTAAGAGATATGGAAATCAATGACATTTCAGTTATGAATATATTTCAGAATGCACAGAAACAGCCAAGGGTTTATGATTTTTTTCTAAAGTATCTGAGAGATACAGAATTGATTAGAAGAATATAGAATATATTCGTTCATCGAGGCCTCACACTCCATCCCAGTAAGTGGCGGAAATGCACCTTAAGCTGGTTTGCCAACCGCCATTAAACACAAAAGAAGAAGAAGAAGTAGCCAATAAAGATATCCGATCGTGAAGGGACCAATAAAAGCCCTGACCTATGCAGTAGGTATTGAAGAACTGATCAGACAGCGAGGGAGCTCAGCGTAATTTATGGACTCGAAGCTTGGAGAAACAAACTACATGGTAGTGTTATCATAAATATCTATATTTTGATACCGATACTGAAATATCTGACACGGTTCCATTACTCATTTTCCACAGTATCTACCGACACAGATACACGCTGCGTCTCTCTCTCCTCTCCGACGGTGAGTTTGACACGCATCCGCGTCCTGTTGATTACAGAGTCTGAATGTCCGCGCGGGATTGCAGGTATTCCGCATAATTTTAATCATTCCCGCGCAAATGTGGCGAGCGCTTTATTGTAACATGAGAACACAGTCATGTAATCGCAAAAAAATGGATGCGAGCTCTCAAATAGGCCTAACTGCCTGTTCTCTCACTCCGATATTGCTTGTGCGCAGTACATATAAATATCCTAGTCTGCCTAACTGCATCACTACATTGTACAGTCTTTACAGGTCAAAGCCATCTGATGTTCCATTTATCTAAATAAATAGGCCTAACATACTGTATATGGCTCTTAAATCACTGCTTATAAAAATTCAGTGTTGTCATATTTTGAATACCTCGAACTGAATTGCGGTCATTTGTTTTATAATTTTATTACTGACTGTGTATTTGTCTTTTTTTGTAAATTCAATTCCGTTTGAAATTAAATTTGAAATCAAGCTTCCTTGTGCTGTAAGCTTTTGCATCAAAGTTACCCTATTTTAAAGACACAAATTCACAGAATGAGCAAATGTTTAAGATTGAGATTTTTGTAATGGTAATTGATCAATATTTGTATGTAAATAAAAGCCTATATAAAATCTGTTCATCATATAAAGCGAATGTGTCTTTTTAGAAGACTTGGATTAAACCAATTACAAAGCTTGAAATAATGATTGCCTTGAAAAAATGGATGTGCAAAAAAAATGTAAAATATTAAAATATCTATATGGAAGTATACAGTAGTATGTGTTAGTTTTGCCAATGGTATTGAAAA